TAAAAGTGAAGCTTATGTGTAATTAAATGATGCCACTGCTTGAATAGCTAAAAGAAAAATCAAGGCATTCTCCATGTCATGTTTTTTAATAATTTTTTTATCAATGTAATGTGTCTGGACTGCACAATGGTGAAGTCAGAAGCACTGTTGCCTTTCAGAAAGAAGGTTCTGGGTTTGATTCCACCTTCCTCTGATAGTAGAGAACACATGACGCTTAGGTTAATTGGCTTCTCTAAATTGTATGCATGTTTGTGTGTCTCTGTGTTGCCCTGCAACAGTTATCGAACAGACTGGTGACCTGTCCAGGGTGTACCCCGCCTCTTTCCCATAGGTCAAGGTCAACTTTATTTCTATAGCACATTTACAAAAACAAAACTGCTGCCCAAAATGCTTCACAATTAACAATACAATAAAAAACCTGAACTGGCCGTTACTTATTTTTTTCTTATTTTTTCTGGCTTATTGAGAGAAGCAGGCTTTAGGCTGGCCTGCAAGACTTTAAACCTGGGTTTGAATGGTGACAAAGTCATTCTCAAGCACATATCAAGGTCCTCATTCGTGAGCCTGGATCAATATTTATTTTTGATTGTATGCATGGTGGAGAATCCTGCTTCACAGCAGCAGGTTGAGCCAAACAAACTCAAAATGTGCAGGGTCATCTTTGAGCACACCATTTCACTTTTCACTTCACCCCAGCTCTTCCAGCAGTCCAAACTTTCCTGCTTTCTTTTTCTCATCATATTCTCCTTCTTTCCCATCGCCCTGCTTGCCAGAGGTTTGGCTGCTGTGTCTAAAAGTATCTCGCCACACTGACCCAGACTGACACAGCTCATTGGGTAATTTGTTTCACGTGTAGCCTGGTCCTGGGCGCTCCGGGAGGGCTTCACCATAGTAGCAGGAAAAGCGGCGTAAGCAAAGTTAGACTCTGTTGTCGGACAACATGTGGTAATTTATAAATGTTTTAAATCAGGGTGGGTCCGGATTAGCCAGAGGATGGGTCTGGATCTGGACTGCGGTTTGGTAATCTGTGACCTCTGGTGTAAAGGAACACATTGCAATTGTGACGATCTCGGCACTGGTGCTGACCTAATCCTGAACTTGGGACACCTGCTCAACTCCACCCTGCTTGCCATTAACTTTCACTGTTTCCACCTGTCTCCACCTCCTTATAAA